AGACTTCAAGTTTATCGGTTACCCTTCTCCAATCTCCTCATCTTCTCTGAATTTTGATTTTCTGATTCGCCATCGCCGATTAGTCGATTACGAATTACATAATACTCATTCTCTATTTCTCTTTTATTTTCCAATTTCATATTTCTGAAATAGCTGGTGGAGTGGTGCTGTGGTGGTTCTTTTTCTGATTTCTGAATCGTTTGGTGAATCCGTGAATGGTGAATTCAGATTTCGTATGAACTTTGAAGACTGAAGTACAGTACAACGCTTTGATTGTGAGTCTAATTTTTTAATCTGTGAACTATTTGTCTATTTTGTTAAGAGTAGGCAATGGAATGTGATTTAATTATTGATTTTGATTAAATAAACTTCTGTAATGTTGATTTTGTTATGAATGATTAATCAGATTTGAGATTTGAGATAATAAGATATGAGATAAATTTTCTAATTTCTTTGTTTAACTGTTTTTTATGTTCAGATAATAAGATTTGAGATTGCTCAAAGATTATTAACAGCTAAGCTGGTTACAGACTTACAGCCTACTGCCTACAGGTAATTTCTTTTTAAAAAAAGTTAATCTATTTTCTGTGATTTTGCTAAATTTGAAATTTCTCATATTTAAAGATTATTTTGTATTTTTAATCTTCAGATTTCTCATTGCTTTGGGAACAAAGGATTAAGGATATACAATCTTATAAACAAGCAACAGAAAGTCAATTGCTGAGCAGCCACATTAGCCATCAGGTAGTCTACTTTCCCATTATTTTGTTAAGTTGTTTTTTGTGAATCTGTGTGATTGTTTGTTATCGGTTATCTTAATTGTTATCTGTTAAAAATGCCTCCTAGAAAATATATGTCTGGAAGTAAAAAAACAAAAAATTGAACAATTAAATGATTCTAAAAAAGGATCTATGAATAAGTTTGTAAAAAAAATAAATTCTTCTAATGTAGAAGATAATGTTGCACATAAAAATGGTTTAGGTGAAGAAGATAATGTCATACATGAAAATGTTTCAAATGAAAATGTTGTTATTGATGATGAAATTTTTAATAATGAAGATGTTAATTTTTCTCATGAAAATGTTAATATTACAAATGAGAATGAAAATGAAAATGGCATGAATAATAACAATGAACAATTTATTCCACCTTTAGATATATATGATCCTAGTAATTGGAATAATCTTGATAATAACTTAAGAGATCTTTTGATTGAAAAAGGGCCAATAAGAGAAACAAATTTTGTGTATCCTAAAGATAATTTATCTAGACATTTTTCTTATGCTTCTTATACTAGAAAGTTAAGTAATGGTGAGACGAGTGATCGAAAATGGCTAATTTACTCAAAACAAGCTGATAGAGTGTTTTGTTTTTGTTGTAAATTGTTTTAAACCTAATAATTATGTTACTAAAATTTCTTTAGCAAATGATGGATTTAATGATTGGAAACATCTATTTGATAGACTTAACGAACATGAAAATAGTTCCGAACATCTTTTTTGTATGGATTCTTGGGATGAAGTAAAAACAAGATTGGATAATAATAAAACAATTGATAAAGATTTACAAAATAAATTTTTAACTGAAAAAGAACGTTGGAGGCAAGTTTTAAAAAGAATAATTGTTGTCATCAAATATTTGGCAAAATACAATTTGGCTTTTCGAGGTTGTAATGAAAAACTTTTTCAAGAATCCAATGGTAATTTTTTTGGGAGCAATTCAAATGATGGCAGAATTTGATGTTATAATGCAATAGCATGTTAGACACATAGAAAATCATCAAACTCATCTTCATTATTTAGGGCACAAAATTCAAAATGAAATCATTTCTATTTTAGCTAATAAAGTTAGAAATTCTATAATTAATATTATAAAAGAATCAAAATATTTTTCTGTTATCCTTGATTGTCACCCAATGTTAGCCATCAAGAACAAATGACTCTAGTTATTCGATGTGTGAACATGTCTAATAATAAAATAAAAGTTGAAGAATTTTTTATAGAATTTTTGAAAGTAGAAAACACATCAGGTTTAGGACTTTTTAATGAGTTATTAAATGCAATTAAATCATATGGTCTTAATATTGATGATGTAAGAGGACAAGGTTATGATAATGGTTCTAACATGAAAGGAAAACACCAAGGGGTTCAAAAACGATTACTTGAAATTAATCCGAAAGCATTGTTTATGCCATGTGCTTGTCATAGTCTTAACCTCACGGTTAGTGATATGGCTCATTCTTGTGCTAAATCTATTTCTTTTTTTGGAGTTTTGCAACACATTTTTGTATTATTTTCGGGTTCAACTAAAAGATGGTCAATATTACTTGATAAAGTCCCTAACTTAACGGTAAAATCTTTATCTAATACTCGTTGGGAGAGTCGAATAAAAAGTGTCAAAGCCATTAGGTTTCAAGCTCCTCATATAAGGGATGCCTTGGTAGAATTATGTTCATCATGTGATGATGCAAAGTCTAAAAGTGAAGCTGAAAGTTTAGTTCATGCTATTGAAAGTTATGAATTTTTACTTGGTATGGTAATTTGGTATGATATTTTATTTGCTATTAATAAAGTTAGTAAGAAAATGCAAACCAAAACTTTGTGTATTGATGCCACAATTGATCTATTAAAAAATATGATGACATTTTTTAAAAATTATAGAAATGAAGGTTATGCCCTTAGTATAGATAATGCTAAGGCCATTGCATCGGATATGGATGTTGAACCTATATTCCTAAAAAAACGACAAATTATTAAAACAAAACAATTTGATGAAACTAATTGTGAAAATATTTCACTATCACCCGAAGAATCATTTAGAATCGAGTATTTTATATATATTGTTGATGTGGCAATTGCGTCATTAGAAAGTAGATTTGAGCAATTAACAAACTTTGAAAATATTTTTGGATTTTTATATGATTCAAAAAGGTTAAAGTCATTGGATGAAATTGAACTTAAAACAAGTTGTACTAATTTTGTAAATAAGTTTACTCATAATGACTTATGTGATGTGGATTTAAATGATTTTATTACGGAACTTAAAGTATTAATAAAGACTTTGCCAAATGTTGTTATGTCATCGATTGAAATTTTAGAGTTTGCCAAAGGTAAAGATTGTTATCCAAATGTTTGTATTGCATATAGAATTCTATTAACCATACCTGTTACTGTAGCATCAGCAGAAAGAAGTTTTTCAAAACTAAAATTATTAAAAAATTATTTGAGATCATCAATGTCACAAAAAAGATTAAATGGTTTGGCTATGTTATGCATTGAAAAAGATTTGTTGGATAATATTGAACTTGATTCTATAATTGATGACTTTGCATCTAAAAAAGCTCGTAAATGTAAATTTCTTTAGTTTTTTCTTTGTTATGTTTATGTATTATGGTTCAGAGCATGTTTGGCCTTTTATTATTTTTTTTGTATTAATAGTTGCTAGGTTGTTTGGCTTTCGGGGCCTGTCCCGAAGCCCTTTTTTTTCATAGGTGGGGAGTCCCCAGCCTTCAATTGTATTATTTTTTTAATTAATAAAAATTTCCGGAGGTACCGCCCTCCTTTACAAGAAAAAAAATTTATAAGGGCGCCAATTTTTCTTTTTGCCCCGGGCCCCAAAATGTCTAGGACCGGGCCTGCCTTTATGGGATGTAGATAGATGATTCATATGTGAATAAAGATTGTGTATTGTTAGAAAATATAGGGAAAAGGTTCCATGAGTGGAACAAGGTAATGAAGTGTTTTTAAGAACTCAAAGATAATCCGTGAGGGATTAAAAGTAAGGAATCCGTGGATAAATTCAAGAGAAAAAAAAGAATGTCAAGGGATCCGAAGGATCGAGATGAGAAGTATGTGATGAAGTAAGATGCGTATGAGAAGGCATGCTAAGAGTTAGATATATGAGAAGAACATAGTAAGAGATAGAGAATAACATGCATAGAGCATAGAGAATGGCATAGAAATATGAGATGTGATATAGTATATATAAAAAAATAAAGATAAGGGTAAAGAAGATATATAGATAGAGTATGTGCAGAGTATGAGATGAGACTGAGAAGAGGCTAAGGAAGATAGAAGAGATAGATTAATGAGAAGAATATTAGTGTGTGCTTTTAGAGATCAAGAGTATAAGATAGAGTATGCGAATGAAAGAATAGAATGTTAATGCATGAGAAGGGATAGAAGAAAGAGGCATATGAGATGAGAAAAAAAAACAAGAGTAAAGAAACATAATAGAAAGATGCATCAAGAAAAGAAAACAGAAAGATAGAATATGTGACAAATATAGAAAAATTTGAAGAAAAGTAGATGAACATGAAAACAGATTAAAAGATAACTCATCAAACATTGTTGTATGATATTGTAGAGATGTTTTATGTTTTGTAAGTTCAGGTAGCTGCCATGGTACAAGAGGAGAAGACACAAGAACACAAGGACCTAGACTAGAATATTTAGCTGTAATTCTTATATTTGGTGTTCTAATAGGTCTAAGTTGTCTATTGAAGGGTCATATTTTTATCTTTCTATCTATATCTCTATGATAGCACAAATCAACCTTTCTCTTTCTACCTCTTCTATCTTTCAATCATCCACAACTATGAGAACGATCGTCTTTATATCCTACATCTTTGACTACAAGACACAATACATACGGTACGAACCTATACAGGTAAAACATACCTCCACCTAGAGATGCGTCCTCAATTTGCCTTTACCGGTTACATGGGATGTTATCACGGGTACCGGGTGCCCACATCGACCAATGCCGAGATCATTACCATTACCCTAATGTTTTTTTAGAATTTTTTTTCTAAAATTGATTAAATAACTAAAGTTAACAAAATAATCAAAGTACTCTATACGTGGCCAATGCCAAGTGAACTTGTTTTGAGTTGTACAAATGTTCCAGTGAAAACTTTTTGGCCCTTGACACGTCATTCCACGTCTACACAAACCCACGTAGCCAATGCTAAGTCAGGTCATAGATACCAAATCCTCTTTATTCTGGTGTGGACACAACTTTTGACTTCCCTCTCTATCTCTATTATATTTTTCTCTTTATACTTGCCTTCCTCTCTCGAGACTGACACACTTTGGCTCTAGGGTTTTTTTTTCTTCTTCAAGAATCTTTGGTTTCTGTTTTATGAATATTTTTTTCATCTGGGTAATTGACTTTTAGGCGAAACATCAAATCTTGTTATTTTTTTATTCTAATCCTCTCTTATTCGATGACCCTTTTCGTTTTGTGAATGTTCTTCACTCAGATTACACCAAGAAGACTACCGTTCATGAGAGTTTGATTGATGGCTGACACAAAATGTTACATTCCCAATCAATTGTTAGGTTAGTTCTTTCTCTTTATACATAATCTGTTATATTCAATTCGAAGTGTTGCGGACTCTGTTTCTCTCATATGATCGTCTCGTCGTTGTATTGGCAATTTAGCACATAAACCAGCTCGATTTAAAGAAAACGAAAGAACATGATCGTACAAAAAAACCCAATCAATAATCGGTGCAGATTTCCCCCCCCCCCCCCCCCCCCCCCCTTTTTTGCGCAAAATCGAGGAGCCATGGTGCAACGGTACGGTACTGTTCTTGGTACACCGGCGCCTTCGCCTGCCGTTCTGCAATCGTATTCAGAATATCGGAAACGAAATGGTTCCAAATTGAAGAACACGAAAACGTTGATCAAATTTGAATTTAGCTCTCTTGATTTCTTTAATCTGTTTTCTCGGTGTTGGTTGCATGTGAAATTTTGGATTCAATATCAGGTTTATATGTTTTTATACACTTGTTTTCATGGAATTGTGGCAGATTTGGATCAAATACAGCAAGAAGCACAGCATCGGTGGTTGCGACCTGCTGAAATTTGTGAAATTCTAACCAACTATCAGAAGTTTCAACTGAGACCTAGTCCACCTGTCATGCCACCAGGTATCCCACCTATGCTACTTTAACATATACACATATGCATATAGATTACTCATCTTATAACTACTAAACATTGTCACTCTAATTTCATGATAGCTGGTTCTTTATTTCTCTTTGATCGAAAAGTGATTCGATACTTTCGAAAAGATGGTCATCGTTGGAGGAAGAAGAAAGATGGAAAGATTGTTAAAGAAGCTCATGAAAAATTAAAGGTGTTCATGTTTATATAACTTTAACTAATACTTTGAGTCTTGATATAATACTTGCTGTTATTTTCATTTTATAGGCAGGCAGTGTGGATGTTCTTCACTGTTACTATGCACATGGAGAAGATAATGAGAACTTTCAGAGAAGAAGCTACTGGATGCTTGATAAGTTAGTCTTTTTTTTTTCAGCAACGTTCCAACTTCATTTCTTACTTTATATATATTCTTACTTGATCTTTATAATGTTTTAGGCAGTATGAGAATATTGTTCTTGTGCACTATAGGGAGGTTAAAGAGGTAAATTTCCAAAAGCCTTTGGTAGATGATCGTATTTATGTGGACTAAAGTGTCATCCTTGATTCGTCATACACAGGGATACAAGTCAAGTTTCTCCCATGGGTTAAATCCAGATTCAAGAACACTGCTTCAAAACTCTCAAAGCAGTGAACAAACACCACATACTTCATATGGTTATGATATGAATTCAGTTGATAAAAACGAACAATCAGTGTCTTCAATATCAAATAACGAGCACTCTTCACAAGATTTTGGGATCGATTCATTTACAACTGATTTGCTATCTTACAAACTAACAGATGCTAGGTTAGATTCTGACACACATTCTCAAGATTTCTTGAACTCCGGGAATGGCTTTTTTTCTGATCATGAAGTTGCATCACAGGTAACTTTTCAGATTGTTTCTTTCTCGAATCTTGGTTGCATATTAATGGCAGTGTCAATGCAGGTCGATGTAAATACTGAAGTGATAAACTTACAAGATAATGATGCTGGAGGACTGAAAAAGATGGACAGCTTTGGAAGGTGGATGTGTAAAGAATTGGGTGGAGAGTTTGATGATTCCCTGATGGCATCCGATTCCGGGGTTTACTGGAATGCAATTGAAACCGAAACTGGAAACAACGATAAAACCGAAGTCTCGAGCTTATCACACCATATGCAGTTGAATACAAGCCCTGTGGGTCCCTCTTTAGCCCAAGAACAGCTCTTTACTATAACCGATTTTGCACCAGATTGGGCGTATTTAGAAACAGAAACAAAGATTTTAATAACAGGGAATTTCTTGGGTGACAAAAAACGTATGAATGACATAAAATGGTGTTGCATGTTTGGTGAAATCGAAGTGGCAGCTGAACTTTTGACAGAAAATGCCATTAGATGTCAGGTTCCTTTACGTGCTGCAGGGCGTATTCCATTTTACATTACATGTAGCAATCGATTAGCTTGTAGTGAAGTGCGTGAGTTTGAGTATATTGATAGGTCAACAAGATTAACAACAGATGATCATCATCATGATGATGATAAAACTTGGGATGAAGAGGAATTCGGTTTAGTAATTCGTCTTTCAAAGTTACTATCTTTGGGGGTTGAAGTGAACAAATGGTTAGACTGCAAGGTGGTAGATTGTGAAAAATGTAAGATGAAGGATGTGTTTGATTCGATTATAAGAAACAAAGAATGGTGTTCAAATAGAATCACAAAGGAGTTGCTAATACAGAATTTGCTGAAAGATAAACTTTATGAGAGATTAGTTTATGAAGTCCATGAAGCATGTGAAGGATTGCGTGTGTTGGATGAAAAAGGACAAGGTGTTATTCATTTGGCCGGAGCTCTTGGTTATGAGTGGGCGGTTGCTCCGATCACCGCCACCGGTGTCAGCCCTAATTTCAGAGATTCACGTGGCCGGACCGCCCTCCATTGGGCTTCACTTTATGGCAGGTTTTGACTTTTGATCCATTTTTATAAGTCAATGATCAAAAAGAGCATCATTTGCTTGAATCTTTGTGTTATGAGAAAGTGTGTTTTTTGCAGAGAGGAAACAGTGGTGGCACTGGTGAAATTTGGTGCGTATGCAGGGGCGGTTGATGACCCAACACCTATGAATCCAGGTGGACAAACGGCTGCTGACCTGGCATCGAGTAAAGGGCATAAAGGGATTGCTGGATATTTGGCAGAAACTGATCTCACCACTCATCTTTCAGCATTGTCTGTGAAGGACAAGGACAAGAATGGTGTCAAAAGTGATGCGTTAGTGGATGATGATGCTACACATTCACATTCTTTAAAAGGGTCACTTGCAGCAGTGAGAAGATCAGCACATGCAGCTGCTTTAATTCAAGATGCTTTCAGAACTCGTTCTTTCAATCAAAGGCAACAACAAGCAACAAAGGCAGAAACTGAAGAACTTGTTGCTATTGCTTCTTCTTCTTCTTATTCTTCTTTACAGAAGGTGAAGAAAACACGTGATTATGAAGACTATTTGCATCTGAACATTGCAGCATCAAAGATCCAGCAAAAGTACAGGGGGTGGAAAGGAAGGAATGAGTTCTTAAAGATTCGTGAGCGCGTTGTCAAGATTCAGGTAAAGTGGTGTTGGTTTTTTTCATGATGTTAATTTAAGTGGTATTCTTATTTATTTATTTTTAATGTTTTAGGCACATTTTCGTGGGCATAAAGTTCGGAAGCATTATAAAAAAGTGGTGTGGTCTGTTGGGATAGTGGAGAAAGCGATACTCAGATGGAGACGAAAGAGCCGTGGGTTGCGAGGATTCCGGTCGGAATTGAAAGCTCCGGAATCGGAATATGATTTCCTGAGAATAGGTCGGAGACAGAAATATGTTGGAGTGGAAAAGGCGTTGGCTAGGGTGCATTCCATGGCTCGGAATCCTGAAGGCCAGGAACAGTACATGAGGCTCGTGGGGAAGTTTGAAAAGGTAATGACACTGATACTGTTAATTGTTAATGTGGTGGTGGTGATTGTGATGTTTTTTGTGTTTGACAGTTGAGCCATGAACATGAAGATAGCAGCAAATGACGTTGAGTTTGAGAGTTTGTAAGTCTAACCCTTAGGGCCTAGGGTGTAGGGAGTCTAATTCTAGTATGCATGCATATATAGATATAAATAGAAATATGAATATGAATATGAATATGAATATGAATATATAAAGTGAAATTGACGAATAGGTGAGAGGAGAGGAATGTGTTTAGATTGGATTGGAGTTACAAGTAGAGTGAGTACATTGATGATTACAAAAAGAAGAAAGTAGAAAAAGCAAAAAGGATGGTGGAAAGAGACGGAAGCACTGATCCTGTGTGTGCCTCCCCTATACCTCCTTCAACTGTACCTGCACCTGCAATTTTTATCGATTAATCCATAACTAATAATAGAATCAGCCTTGAATCTATCTGTTTCTTTAAATCTGCAAATTTTTATCGATTAATCCATGCACTTTAACTTGTGGGTTTAACAAAAAGGATTTCGAGTAAAGGTCCAAAAGTTTTGACTCCAGTATCTTGTAACAACATTTGTGAGTCCAAACTCCAAGGCCCCTAATGTTCTATTAACATATAATTTCTCCATTAAACTTTATTCAACTTTAACATGTTTTGAAAAAAACTTTTAATACATAACAACATGAATCACATTAATATAAGCAATATAGTTAATGTATCATTGTTAAAATAAAAAAAATTCCCAAATTGAAATTTAAATCAAATTCTCACAATGCACCAAACACTATACCATCCTTTAGACGCAATCTTTTGTTCCTGATTTTTTTTTTAATGAAAGGAAGTAAATGATGGAGGAAAATGGAACGGAAGTAAATGATAGAGAAATACAAATAATTAAGTGTCTGTTTTTGACTTTTTGAGTTGGAGCGAAATATAATGAAATGAAAGAATTTGAGGTTTTGACACGGAAAGAATTAATCTAAACATTTTTTTTTTACAAAGACAAAATGTTTTAAATAACCAACTACTTTATAAAGATACAAATTATATGATGATTAATTATTTAAATCTTTTGAAAAAATTACGGCATCTAGAAATACATTTTTATTTTTTATTAAAGTAATAATAAATGGGAATAAATCATTTTATAAAAGTGGCTTTTGAGAAAAATACAGTTTGCTAAATTATGATGTGACAACTAAAAAACATATTTTGGAAACTCACCACATTCTCTTGTGGAGTTAACGGCGGCGGAGCAAATGCACAGCGTTCCTTCAGTTTCAACGTCAAACCCACAAGTCCCACCGGATTTCCGGCAGCGATCACACCCAGTATCCGGCAAACCATACGACAGCTTCATCCCGTACGACCAATCCAATGGCTTCTCCCCCTTCAACTTATCAGCATCATAGAACGTCGTATAATGCGTGCAATCCAGTATATTCATACTCATAAACTTCACAGTGTTGTATGACGTAAAGCAACACGCCGGAGGAGTGTCGTTGGATAGCATCTGAAAAATCTTGAACGACGTGCAGGAACCATATAGCTCATCACACGAGTGGTCGTCGGAGAAGTTGAAACAAAGGGATTTGTAGTGGTTGAGAACCGGAGAGTCGATGGAGCAGTTCATGAGAGCGAAGACGGTGTCCGGAGAAGGAGGAATGAGGGCGGACTGGACGTCGGACAAGACAAAGTCGTGGTGGGGTTGAAGGATGGTGCAGGTGGACATGGAAGGGTCGTAGATGGTGAGAGATTTGGAGGCGTAATCGATGGACTCTACTTTGTAGCTGCCGGAAGGGGTCTCGAAAAAGAGATCCGTGGTGGAGATGGTGGTGTTGGTGGCAAATGTGGTGGAGCAGTTAAGCATATTCCGGTAGAGAGGAGCACCGCAGCCGTCATCGACGGCGAAAGGATAGTCTATTTCGATATTGCCGCATGAATTCCGACAAAGGGGGAGAGAGTGACATAAAAAAGGTAAAAGAAAGAGGAGATACACGAGAAACAGTGAAGTCATATTTTGTGTAGGGAGAGAATTGAGAGAATGAAATGTGAATGCTTTCGGTGGAAATAGGAAGAAAAAATGATTTCCGCAAATTGCTCTTTAAAGCTGCTTCTTTTTATTTCCTTTTGACTTTTTGGCCCCCTGTCAGGAGTTGATGATAACTTGATAGGTTGTACGCCCCAGAAAAGAAAAAAGTTCAAATAAATTTGAATGAATGTTCGATCCTATTTTTTTTTTAGAAAAATGGGTTAATTATTAAACCAATTATTATCGATTTGCTTTTTAAAACATTAAAGTTCTAAAGTTATTTGATTAACAATGTTTTAAAAACATGTTTGAACCGGATGGACCGGGAACCAAGGCCGAGAACCATTCAACAACGATCAGTTTTATGTTAATTGTTACATCGGATCGAACTGGACGGTTTTTTTAAAAACCGGTTTGAATCGGTGTGATAGAACACGTGTCAAAACTCGTTACAGATTGACATGTGACAAAATTATTTTCATTTATTATAATAGATTCAACCAAACACACACGACTTCAATTCTTTCCATTAAATTTATGAACTTTTTCATATCATCACACGTGGTAATCAAGATTTGTGACATACGCCGAATGATTGACAGTCAAAGGTCTTCGACTTTTGAGGTCCATAATAGGGTCTATAAGTTACGCAAGCGGCTTCGCAAATCTTTAAACTGAGAAATGAAGTTCAACACAATGTTGTAAACAATATTGTTTTATACTTCAAGCATGCAACTTTAGAATTTTCAATTTTGGTGACAAAATGAATTGAAGGGATTGTGAAAAAAACATGTGCACACTTTAACAATTAATTGGTGCAGCCATAAGTGGTTATATATTTGTGAATAACTCTACAAAATTTTTACTATAATGCATATAACTATACCATTTTGGATAAGTCCTTCGTATTTGGGGCTGTGGTTTCTATTGTGTGTTAGATAATAGATTGATTGATACTCAAAAGACAATTACATAGAGATATATAAAGAATACCTAAACCCTAATCACTAACATCTCGCACAGTTTGATCGGGAGAAGACGATTAAACTGGAAAAATAAAAAAAAGAACAAAACATAAAAACTAGATGAAGATAGCGGCAACGGCGATGATAGAGCTCTGACGATGGCGGTTAACATTGACTGCTCGTCGGAGAAGAAGAGAGAAGAAGTTGCAGCTAGAGGCGATTATGTTGTATAAGAAGAAAAGATCGGCTACGGCGACATCGGCGATCATGCAACCGGTGGCAGAGGAAATCGGAGAAAGGTAACAAGAAAGAAAGAGGGCTCGATATGTTGCGGACTGTAACGCCCGTAGATCCGGGCTAGTCAATTTAGAGATAATAGGGGTCGAAAACGACTTTTTGACAAACGATTATTTAGAATAAATAATCTTAACCAGGTTGTAGAATACGTCTCAAGGGTTCCGTACATATAAAGAACGTTGAAATCCGAGTTATAACGAAGAAGTTATGGTCCGTCGAAGTTTTATGGCAAAACCAGCACGACACCGGGAGACGTAAATAGTGAATTTACGATGGAGGACTTTTTAGCCTTAGAAATCTAAACAAAAGTTGTAGTATACGTTAAACCGAGAACATACAAAAAAAGAACGCCCAAATCTGACTTCGTATGACAAAGTTATAAATTTTCTAAGATTTGGCTTAGCAGTGCACAGCCCGAAACTCGAATTTTAGATCGAGCGGTTTTTGGCCTACGCGACCTAAATGAGAATTGAAGATCTCATTAATAGGAACTCAACGGTAAAAAGACAGACGAAAACAGAGTCCGTATGTAGAAGTTATGAATTTTACGCTGATATTTAACAGTATAATCTCCTCGTACTGTTAAATTTAAGATCGGTCGAGAATTAGCCAACGGAGTCAAAATGAAAGTTGTAGATCTTATTTTTACCTACGCGTGGATATAAAGAACGTCAAAAACGGAGATCGTATGTGAAAGTTACGGATTTTAGAAGTCGGAAGTGTGTTGTGCGAAAATGGGTGATGTGGCACAATCTTGGCCATTGCTTTCTCCCCAAGTCTTGCCACTAGATGGTGACATGTGGCACCAAGTTCAACCATTTTTCACCCTATAAATAGAACCTCTTCCACCCTCATTTTCTTCACACCTTTCTCATTCTTTCTTCTCTTTACTCTCTCTCTAGAACCTCTCTCTAGCCCCGAACCCCCCCCCCCCCCCCCGAAAAGCCTAGGGAACCTCCCTAGCACGAGGCGGAAGCCCCGGAGTGCTCGACGGCTCCGAGAAGAAGAGCTTTTCGGCTCGGGAACGCTGCTCCAAGCAAAGCCCGGTTATCTATAAAACCCGGTGTAAATGAGCTACGCCTACGCTATTTTTAATATAGCTTTTATTTAATTATAGTAACGTTATTAGGAACTTATAATAAGTACTTGGGCTATTATTATGGGTTATATAAGTATTGTTTAACGCTTATATAATAGTAATAATAGCTAGACTATTAATTAGTCTCGGCGAATAATAGACTAAACTCTAGTGGTAATAATATTAGGTTTCGTCGAATAAAATTATTTTTAAGAAGCGAAGCGTTGTCTGAGTTCAGAATCACCACCTTTTCAAGTGAGTGCATAGTCTCTTTCATCTTACACATAGATATGAAGTATTTAATATAAATTACGTGCTATGTGTGTATATTGTCTGAATATTTGCTGTCTATGCTGGGTGAAATATTTTTTTTATACATGTTTTAAATGTTTTAAAGTGTATATGTATTTTATATCTACAAAATGTGTTGGGTAAAACATGGGTAGATGAAATAGTTGTTGTGTGATAACACGATGAAAAACCTCAAGGTTGACAGTAATCCAGTCATCTAGTGGAGTATAGATGACGACCACAGACTATACTAGACAGTCCAGTGGAACGCTAGCAGGCTCGTAACCTGTAGGTGTTCTTGAATTAGGTGCTCATTAGGTATTTTGAACTGAGTGTGTTCACTAGGTATTTTGAACTGAGTGTGTTCACTGGGTATTTTTGAACTAAGTGTTCACCAGGTATTTTGAACTAAGTGTGTTCACTGGGTATTTTTGAACTAAGTGTTCACCAGGTATTTTGAACTGAGTGTGTTCACTAGGTATTTTGAACTGAGTGTGTTCACTGGGTATTTTTGAACTAAGTGTTCACCATGTATTTTGAACTAAGTGTGTTCACTGGGTATTTTTGAACTAAGTGTTCACCAGGTATTTTGAACTGAGTGTGTTCACTAGGCAATTTTTGAACTAAGTATGTTCACTAGGTATTTTGAACTGAGTGTGTTCACTAGGTATTTTAGAACTAAGTGTTCACCAGATATTTTGGACTACGTGTTCACCAGTTGTAATCCATAAGCCCTGGTAACGATGGACTTTGTGCCTATTCCATAGGATAATCCTTAGGAATGAATGAACGAGAAATTGTTGATTCTTAGGGTAGACCCTTAAGAGTAAAAAAGATAATGGAGATGGGTAATTGTGTGATTGTTTGATGTTAAACATAATAATTATATTATTGTGGGTTGAAAACCCTATGTACTCACCAGGTTTCCCAACCTGACCCACTCAAGCTTATTTGTATCACATGTGTTGATATGAAGTTACATTACACTGAGAATTAAAGAGATGTAGATCACTGGTGTAAATGAATGTAAGTTTTGTTTATGCTTATGTTTCTGTATTGACAATGACATCCCAAATGTTTTAAAATGAATAAAAAATACATTTATTCGGAAATGCTTTGATAACGTATTTATCATGTTTTACTGGGAACAAATTCCGCAACATTTTTATTAAAAGAGGTACTCTGATTTTTATAAAGCATAAACAAAATCGATTTTTTTCTGGCCGTGAAAATGGGGATGTCACACGGAGCCAATTCCGGCGAGATCGGCGACTGCAATGTCAATAGAGAAAGAGATGACTGCAGATCAGAGGCTGTCCGACAGAGAAGGAGCCATCAGAGGGAGACAACAACAACATCAGAAGGGTCTGAATCGGAAAAGAGATCTGAAGAAGTGGCCATTTGAGGAGGATGCAGAAGGCTTAGAGACAAGGGTCATCTGACGAGGAGGCAAAAATAGACGAGGTAGTAGAAGAAGTCGATGAAAGAGTTCTAGTTTGGTGTCGGCGGCTGAATTATTATTTAGTCGGAGAAGAGAAGAAAGAGAAAAAAAAATATGGAACATAATGAAGGCACCTACGGCGACTGTTAGAGAAGGTCGTCGGAGATGGAGGGCGGCGGTTGTGGGTTGTGGTAAGTAGTAAGGTTTTAAACTAGAGCCCTGATACCATTTTAGATAATAGATTGATTGATACTCAAAAGACAATTACATAGAAATATATAAAGAATATCTAAACGCTAATGACTTAAACCCTAAAGGGTTTGGGCCTAAATCCTAATCAGTAACATTGTGGACATCGGTTTTAAACTAAACGAATATCTAACTAGGCAAATAACCACAAAGGTATAACCTACTATTACAAAACACAAACAAAATACTTATTTTAATAAGAATAACTCAATTTTAGACAAGTTCTTCCCTCTTTGAATCGGGGTTTTCATTTCGAACATCATTCGTTTGGATATTAATAACATGAAAGGTGATCTGTAGTAAACAAATATGGTCATTATAATTATAAACAACTTACATGTTACATCATAATCTCCTCTAAATCCATAGTTTGATTTGAAATAATCTGAAATGCAGTTTTTATGCGCGGTGTGTACCCACATTTCTTGGGAGGACCGCGTAAATAGGCAAGTATGCATCAGATTTGGGCTCAGAATGACCCATTTCAAAATAGGTGGTTAATTTCGCAAAGGGCCAAAATCTTGGTATTTTTGCTAATCCAAAAAAAAACATATGATCATTTTTATGAATATCTCTGTTATCGATGCAAGGAGGAGATGATGTCCAAGAAGAAAATGAGAAGATAATATGAGGTTTGACAGGAAGGACTTAACTCTTACAAAAGACATGACCATCTTATTGCCCCCTTGCTCAATTCTTATGAGACTGG